CCACAGCCACTGCTGCTAGAGGGAGTCCCAACCCTGCCCGGAGTGGGTGACAGGGCGTCAGGGTCTGTGCTGGGGTCCCCATCCCTGTGGCAGAGGGCAGGTGGTCCCTGGGCTGGACCCCTGCCCGGGGGTCTGGGTCCCAGAGCTGCCCCCCATGGGTCCCTCCATGGGGAACGGCAAAGCCAGCAGCGGGTGCTGGGGGAAGGACAGATCCTGGCCACAGCCGCCATCCCTGGCAATCTATTGCTCAGTGCAGCCTCGGCCGGAGGCTGTGCCCATGTCCCTGAGCCCACATGCAGTGGGACCCCCTCAGCACCCAGGCAAGTGTCCCATTGCTGCCTGCCCCACATCCCTCAGCTGGGTCTCGTCTTGGCAATGGTGCTTTGCGCCCCTCTCCCTGCTTTCCACAGGGCTGGTCCCTTCTGTGGGGACCCTGGGGATGCTGAGGTCCCTGGGCACCCTGAGGACCCTGGGGACGCTGAGGTCCCTGGGGACCCTGAGGACCCTGGGGATGCTGGGGACCCTGGGGAACTTGGGGATGTTGGGGATGCTGGGGACCCTGGGGACCCCCCCGTGCTTGCAGGACCAGAGGATGCGTTCCTTCCCTCTCCCAGCTCTTTCTGGCTGTTTCCCATGACCACGGCACAGAGCTGAGTCCCACCAGTGTGGCTCCGCCACCGTTTTCCTGGCCCGTGGCACAGATCTGGAGCCCATGGCTGTGTGCGAGCAGCATTCCCCCGGCTCATCCCTCTGCAGTGCCTAGCAGTGATTCAGCCCGACAGTATCGCTGTTCCCCGGCACCCCGTGCTCCTCCTGCCGGTCTCCCCACCACCCTGCCACCAGCGAACCCACTCACCTCGCTTTCCACCCTGCTCCTCCAGCTCAGCAAGCGGCAGTGGGGCAGGGATCCCTGGGACGAGTGGGGGGGCTCTGCTTTGTGCCCCCTTGTCAGCCACCAGCACCCGAAATCTTTGTCCAGGTTTACAACCCCTTGGGAAGAGCCGGGCAATGGTGGGTTTGGACATCCCTGTGCCCCAGCTCTGCTGTTCCCAGGCCTGAGTGGCTGGAGGAGCAGCCGAGGGAGCCAGGGCTGCTGCCTGGGGGGGGCCAGCGATGGAGCGCCCACTGTGCCCCCCAGCAGTGGGAGCCCGGTTTGTCCCCGTCCATGCCACACCAGGCAGGGAGAGCTCTGGAAATGCTGTGGGGACACAGCAAACCCCGGGTACCTCGGGGCCGGGCATCCTCCTGCACCCTCGGGGGGCTCAGCATGCCCCCAGCCCTATTTCGGGGTGAGAATTGATGGGGCTGGGGGTCCTGGCCATGCACGCACTGCTGGCGGGCTCTGCCCGGCTGCTGCTTGGCCCCACAGCCCCCAGAGGGAGCGCAGATGGGAGTGCTCAGGGGTAGGCACATTTCGGATGGCAGAGCCCTCACCCCGGGGCACCGCTGGCTAAAGCCGGGTGCCGTGCCGCCAGCAGCTGGGTTTTGGCGGGACGTTTGCCGCCGGTTCCCTCCCTGGCAGAGGCAGCTGGCAGGTTTCCACGTGGCTCCTCGGGACAACTCCCCAAATTCCCAGCTTGGAGGGGAAGGAATTCCCCAGCGAGCTCTCCCCAGCACGTCCCCCCGTGCCCACACGGCTTCCCTCCGGTTGCCCCATGTCTGCGGGTCAGCCACCGTGCGGGGGGCCCTGCCATGTTGGGGGGGGCTCAGACATGACAGGGGGGCTCTGCCGCGATGAGGAGGGAAGCCATGACATGGGGCAAAGAGCAGCGCCCAGGCGAGGACCAGGAGAAGCTCTGGGTGCTCCGGCGCGAGCGCAGGTGATTCAGCGTGGCTGGGGCAGGGTGCCGCCCGTTCCCGCACCCATCGCTCCCGGCCCAGCAGCTGCGGTAAAGGTGTGTTTACCTTCCTGCTCGCCTGCGTCACGCGTGGCTGCGGTGCTGCTGTCCCGGGCAAGGCCCCTGTGGCTCCGGCCCCCCGCCCCGGGCAGCCCCCATCACCCCATGTTCCGCTGACCCCTGGGTGATGCTGCCGCCCTGGAGAACAGGGGGTACCCAGGGGATGTAGCCACGAGGGTCCTGGCGGGGCTCGGCAATGGGGGACCGGCCCCTCGGCGTGCAGCCCCTTCCCCAGGGGACCGGTGGGCAGGGAGGGTGCAGGGACCTCGCTCTGCCTCCCCCCCCCACCTTCCCCCTGGGACGCAGCGGGTGCTTGTGGGCCATGCCAGGGGTGCAGCTAACCCTGCTCCTGTTCCACACACCTGCCCCCAAAAGCGCTTTTTGGGGAGCGGGAAAGCGGAGCGGGGCTGCAGCCGCTGCTCTCTGCCCTCACCCTCCCCCGGAGCCTCAGCCAGGAGGCAATTAAGCTAATTGAAACTTTGCAATTGATTCCCATGGCTGGAAGCCAGGCTGCCTCAGAGGAGAGAGGGAGAGGGCAAGTGCTGCCTGTCCCCAGCGGAGAGCTGGGGCGGTGGGGTGATGGCAGCTCCCGGTGTGGGTCCGGCCACGGCTCGGGCCTGGGTGCAGGTGAGCCCAGATGCCAGGTTACCCGACGCAGCGGCAGCGGTGAGCTCTGCCGGGATGGCTGCAGGCCGACGGCTGGATCCAGCACAGCCGGGTGGTAAAGCAGGACCCGGGGTCCTTCCCAGCTCCCCAGGAGCGGTGATCCCCTGAGGAGGGCAGGGAGCCGGGTTGTTCTGCCCTTGCTGCAGGACCCCAGGGGCTCAGCCGCGACTCTGCCACGTCCCCGGGGCAGCACGCACGCCTGGAGCAGGGGCCAGTGGAGAGACCTGCTCCTGCTCCTGCTCCTGCTCCTGCTGCTCCTCTGCTCTGTGGCAGCGCCTGGAGCTGCAGAGCCGAGGCGGGCCGGGGGTCCCAGCTGAGCCCCAGCCTCCCACTCACCCCCTGCCCCGCGATCCCCACCCCACTGCATGGGAAGGGGCGACTGGCCAGCGAGGGCGGCTCCCCCCCCCCAGTAGCCTGTGTTAGGTGGATGTGAACTGGCCAGAGCCCCCTCCTCCCACGCGGGCTCACGCCGGTGCTGCAGACCCCTGTGACCCGGGTTTGTCCCCCGGGGTGGCAGCGGCTGGCACTGCCCCACATGAGATCCAGATGGGGACCTGTGCAGGGTCCCAGGAGGTGCCTGGGTGTGAGCCCCGGCCAGGACCCCCATCACGGCATGGCATGGCATGGCACTGCCTGGGGTTTGCTTTGGAGTACCGGCACCATGGCAGAGCCGTGCCAGGGCTCAGCCCCAGGGACCGTAGCATGACATCCCACTGGAGCACGGCCCATGGGGATGCCGCGGTGGCGGTGAGCTCCAGGCAGGGGTTTGGGCATTGGTGGCCCACGGTAGCGTGTGCCGTGCCGGGGTTGTGCCAGGTGTTTGGCCCCGCATGCCCTTGCCCGCAGCTCTGCCGCGTTGTTTTCGTGCTGTTTTTCTTTCTCTCCGGGATAATCCAGCAACAAACAAGCGGAAGAGCCCAGCATGCCGCAGAAATTCCCCCTGGGGAGATGCGCAGAGAGCCGGGGGCCACGGCGCTGGGGGGAATGCTGTACCGCTGTGGGCAGGGGCTGGACCCGCAGCCCCGCTCAGGGGGAGTTTGAACCCATCACCCCCCACCCCATCCCCACCTCCCCACGATCAGGTGCTGCCACAAATCCCCCTGCACTGGGACCGGGTGTTTGAAGCCTTTGTGTCCTGATAATGCGGAAGAATCTCAGCGATTCGGAGCACGCGGAGGCCCCCGGCCCCTCGGCCTGGGGAGGCCGCGGTGGGGGGAGCGGGCAGGGGAGGGGGTGCAGGCACCCCCACTCTGGGGCCCGGAGCCCACCTTGGGGACCCCAGGGTGCTGGGGGCTCCTTGCCCCGTCCCCGTCCCGTCAGCGTGGGCACGGAGGACACCCAGACCCCGTCCCAGAGCAGGAGGTGGGGGGCCCCGTCGAGGGGGGCTGGCGGGGACCCCCTCCCCTGCTGAGCTCTGGCTGCCCAGCTCGAGGAGCAGCACCCCGAGCCCCAATGGCTGCCCGCCCCCCCTGCCCCCCGGGCACTGCCAGCAGCGGCTCCCCACCGCCCCCGGTTTTGGCGAGCTGGTTCTCCCGCGGGGGGAACGCCGGGACTGGTCTGACCTCTGTGGATTACATTCCTTAATTGTTTTAAAAGGCCCCATGTGATGTTTAAAAACATTAACCTAAATTAGCCCTGGGAGAAGGTGCATGCAGACACACGTTCCCGCAGAGCGACTCCAGCCCCGCTCGTGGGCTGTGCTGGATGCCGGGTGCAGTGCCGTGGGGTGCCGGGGTGCTGCCCCCCGTGGGGACAGGGCTCCCGGGCAGTGTGGGGCAGAGGTGGGGCTGGCTGAACTGGGGGCACTGGGCTGCACCTGGCTTCCCCACGCAGCCCGGGGAAGGGAGGCAGGATGCGGCCTTGGTCCTCCAGCCTGGGTTTACCCCCCAAGTGTGGGGAGCAGCGAGGGGAGCTGGGGGGGGGGGCCTGACCCGCCGCAAACTCCTCGGCACGGCAGTGGGATGCAGGGCGCAGGACAGGGGGTGTCGGGGTGCTCCGGGGACGACGTGCGGTGCCAGGCGGGAGGCAGGCAGCGGGGCTTGGCAGGGCTGAGCGCGGCACGACGTGGCACAGCATGGCTCCCGGGGCCTGGCAGGGCCCAGCACCGCTTGGCCTGGCCCCCGCTGCCGCGGTGTTGGGGAGGGGGCTGGCAGGTGGGCTGGGGGGTACCCCGACCCCCCCCATTAGCCCCAGCCCAGATTCTGGGGTGGCTCCCCCAGCTCCATCCCGGTCTCATCCCACTCCCTCCCGCACTGCTCCCCCAT